ATGTGGAGGTGTGCTGGTTCCCCCAGCACAGAAGCTCTCTCCGACAAAGAAGCAGGATCCAACAGAGCAGTACAGACACAGTAGAGCAGAGAGAAAGAGCTCTTCTCAGGGGTGTTTGTGAGGGCTTCATTTCACAGTCATGATTGACTAAATTATTGGCCATTGGCTGATTCAGCCTCCAGTCTCAGCCCTTGGGTGTGGGGCTTCCAAATGTCTCTCATTAACATGACAAAACACCCATTTCACCCATAAGACTGCAGTGTTTTCGGGAACTGTGGATGTAGAGCAAATACACCTGAGAAATATATATTTGGTCAAATGAATGACCAAATATGTATTTCTTATAACTCATTATATCACCATTATTCATTCTCCTTTTTCTCCACTCCCAACAACACATTGAATTAATCATTAAGTCCTAATGATTCTACACCCTAAATCTCTGAAATCTATCTAGATCCTCTTTTGTAACCCCTAAGCCACAGCACCAATTCAGACCCTTTCACTTCTCATCATAATTAGCACAAAGTCTGAAAACTAGTCTCTTTAGCTTTCTCTAATTCAATATCCACACTCCAACTAAAGTGAGATTTCTGAAGTGCAAATCTGTTGGAATATTGGTAATAATGCGAAATGTTTCTGCCCATAACAATGCAAATGATTCCTGTTCCTGGTAATGCAAATTCTTTTTAGTAGATAATACACATTTTTAAAAGTCAAATCTTCATTTGAACTAGTTTTAGTATCTTGATGGTTTTCTCATTAGTTTAATATGTGTTTGCTTTTGTATAGGACTCTGATTTTACCTTTTTGAAAATTATCCTAATACAGATAACAGGAAGTAACCCATACTTGCGGAAGCCAAAAATGACACTCTGAATGGCCAGAAGGATGTGTCATGAACCCAGGACGGGCATCAGGCTAGGCATTGAGTACAACATGAAGCTAGTGCTAGAAGGCCCCAAGAAGCTAAGGTAGTGTCCAGGCTTGCATTCCTCTCTGTGCAACGGATTGATGAAAACTGTTTTCTTGGCTACTAAGGCTATTTGGCAGGTAAAATATGGTCACTCGCAGCTCTGAAACTTTCATAGTAGGGCCACCAGGAGTAAGAGTGTAGTTCTCTCTCCTCAATTCCAAATTGTTATTGAAGGCATTCTAATTGGCCTAGTTTGGGTTAAGACCCCACACTGAACCATTTAACTGTACAAACACACAGCTTTTCATTGGTCCCCCTGCTGGCAGTTCTAGCCCTCAGACTTTTACTTCTAAAATTCATATTTGATTTGCTATTCCTGCCTCTGCATAAAGACCTTCAGTGTCTCTCCTCTGCTTACAGAACGAGTCCCAACTCCTTAATATATCATAGGAGGCTCTTTATCATCACACCTCTGACCATCTCTGCAGTACTCTTCATTGCATCCCACACCTCAATTATATGGTATTTTGCCCCTCTGTTCTTTTGCGTGTGCTGATTCCTCCACACTCTTAATACGCCACTCATTCTTCAAAACCCAGCTCACACCACTTCTGTGAAGCTTAAGATACATGACACAGTATAATATTTATCTGCTTCCTGACTGTCACCTAACAATCCTGTGAACACCTAGAGCACAGGGTCTCAGTCTCTAATTCTTTCATGGAGCATGGAATCTAGTGGGCTTCTAAAAACTATTTGCTGAATGAATGAGTGCTCCTACCCTACCCCCCTTTGGCTAGAAGACAGAGACAACAGGACACTCAGTGTTACACATGCACCCTACCAGCTATGAGCAGGAAGCACATGAGTTCTGTTAAAGAAAAAAATTGTTCTTGACTCTGTTAAAGGTGGTAAGGCAGACTTTATCTAGTGGGACCATGGTGTTAAGTATAGGAAATAATCAATTTATCATCACACTAGACTCAATGGGGTCTAGTAGGGGGAGAGATTGAGCTCAACTCAGAGCCCAGCAAGAACAAGTCAGGATTTATAGCAAAGAAGAAGTGGATGGAAAATTACAGTCTTAGTTTGCTCAGGCTGCTAAAATAAAGTACCACAAATTGGGTAGCTTATAAATAACAGAAATTTATTTCTCAGTTCTGGAAGCAGGAAATCCAAGGTCAGGGCGCCAGCATGGTTGAGTGAGGGCTCTCTTCTGGTGGCCGACTTCTTGTATCCTCACCTGGATTGGGCTAGGGAGTTCTGTGAGATCTCTTCCATGACAGCACTAATCTCTTCACGCTCCTCGTGACCTAATCACCTCCCAAAGGCCCCATCCACTAATGTAATCTCCTTTGGGGTTAGTATTTCGACACACAAATTTTGGAGGGACACAAACACTCAGACCATAGCAGTCACTAGAGAATGCTCTAGACCAACTGAACAGAATTCTTGCTAAAGACAAGCCAGGGTGATAAGATATGGAGGGTGGTCTCATACCAAGGATGAGGGATTTTCACTAAACTGTCTTAACAGGATTCCTGCTCAAACGGGATTCTACAAAACCAGAGAGCAAAGCCCAGGGTTAGGCAGAGGACTAGTCAAACAGAGGACTCAGAGTAGTCTGACAAAGTTTTGGTCAAAGTAGCCTTTGTCAGTTCTAAGTTTTATCAGGGCTTCTTAACTCTGGCTAGGGATGGGGTACTTAAAAAAAATATCAAAGCCTGGGTGCCACCCAACCATCACTCCACCTTGCCCCAGTTATTCCAATTCAGTCCTTCTCCTCTGAGGTCAGGCCTTAGTTCTGTTTTGGTTTTTTATTTTCTATTTTCGCCAAAAGGTTCTACTGGGGTGTCTAGGGTTGAGAACTGCTGCTGAAGACGGATGTGGAAATGCACCTGTTTTCGAAGCCAGTAAGCTTGCGCCCCAGGGTTCCCCGGGCTCCAGGGCACCCGAGCTGCGCTTCGCCGGGCACCACCCCGCGGGGGCGGGACTCCGGCCGCAGGAGGCGGAGCCACAGCCGGAGCCTCGCCGCTCCCCTCGCGGGAAAGCACTGCGCGTGACTCCCAGCGAGCGTCGCAGCCGGACCGGGGCAGGTGGGCGAGCATCCAGGGCCCCGCGGACCGAACCAACGCACCGTCCGCAGGGGCCGCAAGAGGGTAACCAGATTGGACCATTGGCGCCGCGGCTGCAGGGGGAAGCGGGCATTACCAACCCGTCTGCGGAGGAGGGAGGCGCTGGCCCGTCCCAGCTGCAGCGCGACCCCGGGAAGGCACGAGACGGCGCTGCCAACGCCACCGCCAACGCCGCCGCCGCCTGCGCCGTAGGACCGCACTGAGGCGAGAAACCAGGTAGGGACGCCTCTTCGGGAACTGGCGGGGTGCGGGAACCCGCTGCCCTCACGTTCCAAATGATCCCTCAGGAGAAAGCCCTCTGCCCGCCTAGCCAGCCCTGCTCGCCCCGCCCTTCCCGCAGTCCGCACCCCCGTGCTTCAGCCCCACGCTCCCGGCCCGCTCCTCCCGTGTGGACCGGCCGCCGCCTCTGTCCTCCCCCTGGCTCTCCGCTTAACCATCCGCTGAACTCTCGAGCGCTGAGGACCACCCATCCCTTTGGATGGCACCTCGGATCCCCCAACCGCCTCCTCAGTTGTGCCTTCGGAGACACCCTGTCAGCTGATTCGCGCCCAGTAGTACCCGTTGTACTCACATCTGGGGCGGCCCTCGGGGAGCGTGGCCGTCCGCGCCCAGCCTCGAGACTGCGGCGGGGTTTTGGCACAGCCAGTCCCAGCCGGACCTCCGCGCCCTACGACCCTTTGTCCCTTGGTTCCCAAGTTGGTATCTGCCTGAGTCGGGTCCCTTCTGTCACACACACACACATCAGTCTTACCTCCGGAAAACCTTTGGCCTGGCAGTTTGCCTGCCCTGTGCCACCGCACTTACGGCTGCGAAGGGCATAGTGGCCCCATTGCCCAGGGCTGCCTTGACTCATCTGGAGTCAGGGCGGCTCGTGGGGAGGAACCTTTCCCGGAGGCAAGGACCACACACTATTCATTTATATCCCCACCACCCAGCACAGTGCCTGGCACATGGTTGCACTCAAGTCAGTATTTCATGGGTGGATAAATGAAAGAATGGGCCCAATGCCGAGGGTGTGAGGCCAATGGTTCAGGGTAAAGATGTCTCTAGTTACTTGAAGGGGGAAAAAAGGAAAAGCATCTGGAGGATCACTTGTGTTCATATTGGGAGCATAAAATGGAATATATTCAGTCTGTAACTTCATGCATTTAATTCCATTTACGCAAGAGCTTCTGTGTATCAGCTGTTTTCCACTTATGTTCTGTTTACCAAAAAAAAGGGGAGGGGGCTGGGCTGCAGAAATTCTTATTGGTTAGTGCAGCCCAGATAATCCTGAAAGAACTTTGCCCAGGTGACCCACCCCTCTTGCCCTAGAGACTCGTTTCTCCCTCAGAGGAAAAATTTTGGACGCTGGCCACAGCCTTTCAAGCTGACTCAGTGTAGTTGGTCAGCTGGTGCTTCAGGACAGGCTGGAGGAATGAAGGATCTTAGTTGTTTTACCCCTTAGCTCCTGGATATGCCCACCCTCCCACTTAAGAGACTGCAGACAGGCCTAGTGTGATAAATTAAAGAATATGTATATACTATTGTAGTACCAAGCCATGTGGGCCATTTATATCTCAACAGACCAGAAACAGACAGGGATCACTACTATGTGAGCAGTGTAGTGAACAAGAACCGGGGCCTTTTAAAGATGGCCTTCTCAGAGAACAGTGAGCTTGAAACCTGTGTATGTTGATTCCTAGGAGGATGACCTGAACAGATTAAGATTCCTGACGGTATGATAGGGTTCAGATACCTCAGTTTTGGCCCAGGTTCTGTGGGCAAGTAGATGATACTGCTGAGTGATGAAACAATGGCTGGAAAAGCTGTACGAGTTTATAAGCTAAGAAGTAGTTACCTGACTAGTAATGGTGTTATTGTAACTGGGGCTTAGAGTATTAGTAAGTAAAAATAGTCATTGGAGTTTTGTTGAAGGCATTGCTATGGCTTTGGGGAAGGAGGAGAGGTCCCGCCACTGTGCCTAGCATTGGGTAACCTGTGCCCCTCTTGTTGTATGGCCATAGCGCACTTGTCACCTTTGTTTCTCTTTTGTTTGAGCCAGGTCAAAATCTGATATCCTCTGAATTTTATGATAAATGGTTAAAGTCCCTTTTTGAGGCCAAGCCTGCCTAACAGGAGGCTGGGTATATTCTCACCTACTTCTAGCTTCAATTTTTCTTTCTTCACTTACTCTTTGTCCCACCTCTGATCTAACTTTATAAATTAAGTTGTGGATCATAGAAATCCAAAACACAGAGGGGCTCCTGAGCTGGATTAAGCATAAGCATGGTGTCTGAAGGCCAATACTTTTTATTTATATTTATTAATTTTTTTGGCAACCAGTGTATTTTTAATGAGCTTTTCTACTTTTCTCTGTCTAGGCTCCCTGTTAAGTAAAATCTCAGTAACCCCAGAACACACTGGATTCATTTATTTCACGTCAACTTCCAAAATTTCAGAGTATTGCCAGACAAAATATAGGATGCCGAGTTAAATTTGAATTTCAGATAAGCAAGAGTGTCCTGTATTTTTGTTTTCTAAATCTGGCTCCCTAGTTCATGGAGAGGCTTATGTGTTCTAATTTTCTCTCTGCAAACTCAGGACAGTAAGTCACCCTTCTGTTACTCATATTCAATGACTGAGCACCCTATTAAAAGTCACTTGACTGAGATGGCTCACTGCATGTTAGTGTAAGGACCAGCTCTGTAGAGATAGATTGATCAGTTTTGAGGTTACCCAGAAAACACCCACTTAGAGATTGGCATATGATATTGTAATTCCTGTCAAATGAGTCCCTCATTCATTTGAGTGGCCAGGTATCAACATTGCTCTGAGAGAGACAGCCAGGGACAGGGGTGGGGAGGTGGATTCTAACAAAAAAGTATAACTCATACAGGATCTCTCTTGTAGTATTTACTTTTTTTGTGTGTGTGATAAAATATGCATAACATAAAATTTACCATTTTAACCATTCTCAAGTGTACAGTTCAGAGGCATTAAGTACATTGACATTGTTGTCCATCCATCACCACTGTCCATCTCCAGAACTTTTTCATCTTCTGAAACTGAAACTCTATAACTATTAAATAATAACTCCTCATTCCCTCTTCCCCCAAGCCCCTGGCAACCACCATTCTCCTTTCTTCATGAATTTGTCTGTTCTAGGTACTTCATATAAGTCAAATCATACAGTAATTGTCTCCTTGTGACTGGTTTATTTTACCTAATGTTTTCAGGGTTCATCCATTTCATAGCTTGTATCTGAATTTCCTTCTTTTTTAAGGCTGAATAGTATTAATTGTCTGTCTGTATATACCACATTCTGTTGATTCTTTCATATGATGATAGTCATTTAAGTTGCTTCCACATTTTGGCTATTGTGAGTAATGCTGCTCTGAACATGGATGTACAAATATATGTTTGAGTCCCTGCTCCCAGTTCTTTTGAGTATATAACCAGAAATGGAATTGCTGGATTATATGGTAATTCTGTATTTACTTTTTTGAGGAACTTCAGTAATACTGCGGAACTGGTTTCCACTATGACTGTACCATTTTACATTGCCACCAGCAATGTAAAGCATTCTGATTTTTCCACATCTTTGCCAGCACTTGTTTTTGTTTTTAAGTAATAGTCATCCTAGTGGGTGTGAAGTGGTATCTCATTGTGGTTTTGATTTCAGTTTTCTTTAATGATTAGTGATATTGAGCATTTTTCATGTGCTTATTGGCCATTTTTTCTATCTTCTTTGGAGAAATGTCTATTGAGATCCTTTGCCCATTTTTTAACTGGGTTATATGTCTTTCCATTGTTGGGTTGTAAAAGTTCTTTATATATGCTGGATAGAACTCCCTTATCAGATATATGATTTGCAAATAGATTTTTTTTCCCATTCTCTGGGTTGCCTTTTCACTCTGTTGGTAGTCTTTAGATGCACAAAAAGTTAACTCCATTTTATTTATTTTTTTCTTTTATTGCTTGTGCTTTGATGTGATATCCAAGCAATCCTTGCCAAATTCAATGGCATGAAGCTTTCCTCCTGTTTTCTTCTAAGTTTTTTATAGTTATATCTCTTATGATTAGGTCTTAATTTTTGTATGTAGTGTAAAATAAAGGCCCAACTTTATTCTTTTGCATTGTATATCAGTTTTCCCAAAATTATTCGTTGAAAAGACTATTGTTTCTCCGTTGAATAGTTTTAGCATTCTCATCATAAACCGTATGACCAGATATACCGGAGTTTATTTCTAGACTCTTTATTCTGTTCTATTGGTCTATATGTCTATCTTTATACCAGTACTACACTCTTTTGATTACTCTAGCATTGTAGTTAGTTTTGGAATCAGGAAATGTCAGTCCTCCAGCTTTGCTCTCTTTCAAGATTGTTTTAGCTATTCAGGATCCATTGAGATTGCATATGAATTTTAGGATGGGTTTTTCTACTTTTGTAAAAAATGTCATTTGGATTTTGATAGGGACTGCTTTCAATCTGTAGATTGCTTTGGGTAGTATTAACTTTTTTCATTACTGTGGAAAGAACACTTAATATGGGATCTATTCTCTTAACAAATTTTTAAGTGTGTAATATATTATTGACTATAGATACATAGCTGATTTCTAAAGCTTATTCATCTTGTTTGACTGAAACTTTATGCCCATTGAATAGCAACTCCCCATTTCCCTCCCCACCAACCCCAGGCAACCACCATTCCACTCTTGGATTCATGAATTTGACTATTGTAGATACCTCATGTAAGTGGAATTGGGCAGTATTAGTCTTTCTGTGATTAGCTTATGTCACTTAGCAAAATATCTAAGTTGTCAAATATTGCAGGTTTGACATCATAACAATATTAAGTCTTACAATCCATGAACACAATCTTTCCATTCATGTCTTCTTTAATTTCTCCATCATTGTCTTATAGTTTTCAGTGTACAGTCTTTATCTCTTTGGTTATGCATATTCCTAAGTATGTTTTTTTTATGTTACTGTAAATGGAATTTTCTTAAATTCCTTTTCAGGTTGTTCATTGCTAGTGTATGGAAACACAACTGATTTTTGTGTTGATTTTGTGTCTTGCAACTATGCCAGATTCATTTATTAGTTCTAAAGGTTTGGGGAGGAATCTTTAGAGTTTTCTACATATAAGATCATGTCATCTTCAAACAGAGATGGGATGTCTTTTATTTCTTTTTTTTTAGTTAACTGCTGTGACTAAGACTTCTAAGACTAT